CGTTTTAGGGTGGAATCAACTCCTTAAACTATCTCGTAGAAGGAAGCTAGGTTGTATTCTGCGACATAAGTGTCTAAGACAAAAGTGAGGAGTATACGAATTGAAGCGAACAACAGTCCCTCCACCTACGTATTCCAAAAACAAGAAATCCATTTATCGATCTATGAGTGTTTTTTCGAAATCTGTACTTTTCAGCCCCTCTCTTCGTGGAGTGCCATCATCAGTGAACTATGGCACAACTCAGCAACACACAACCACCACAAACTCAGTGAGTGCACGACCTGCAGGACAGCACAGTCCACAGGCGCAGCACTCACCAAATCCTCCTCCAGTTCCGTCAAATCCTCCTCCAGGTTGGCTTACTTGTTTTTCGATGGACGATAACTGGAACAAGTTGCAGATGGAAAATTATCTACGTGTTGTGCACCTTTTTTTCGAAAAGAACCTGGAGCGCGTAGTTTTTATTCACTTAGTCAGCCTATTCGACATAGTTCTCTTGAGGATCCGAAGGGTTTTCTGGAGAGGTCTGTCAGCCTGCAGTTACTGGGTTGTCTCGGGAAATTCGCTATTTTTCATCAGAGAATCCAACAAAACGTAACTCCGCTCAAACGAACTTCTATCGAGTAAAGTGCGCGCTATTATAATCAGGGCAAAATTGCCAAAGGGTATGTAATGGATATACGCCGTCTACGCTCTCAATAAATAAATAAATAAATAATAAAAGCGAGACCACGAAAATCGACAGACTGACAGGAGCCTTTCTTGATATCTTTCTAAATCAGATAAGCCTGTTGATCAAGTGCGCATCAATCCAATGCTTTTCCACTAATTCAAGCGATACCGGCTTCTGCACTTTTTTAACCTTCCCTGCTCTTGCTCATCGTTCTAGCCTCGCTTCTCAAACTGGCGTCAATAGCTGCCCTTAAATGTTCGTTGACCAACGGTCACTGATGCCTGGGGTTAGTTGATCATGACAGCTTTCACCTCTAGGAGCGAACATTCAAAACCAATTTCGCACTTTTCTTCCTAAACTGATTCTCTTCCCAAACACTCCTGATGTTCCGGGTGGCTTTCTTTGCCGATCGGCTCAATTTGAATTCATGAAGCTTAACGACGCTAAAATCATGCTTATCCATAAGTTTATCAATTTAGCACCACTCAGATAAGCAAATTAGTGGTGAGGTCGAGGAACAGATTCACGAAATGATATGTGATTGCCTTTTGGGATAGCCAGTGCACGTGTAGAAAGCTTTGCGAAATATTTTGTAGCTTTAACTTGAGCGATTATTTTCGCAACAACGTTACAGCATAGGAGCTACTTCAGAGTAACCGAATTTGCATGAAGCGTTCGCTGCGATTGCTTTGTTAACCATCCTGTCTAAAAATGGTTTTTTAAAGCTTCTCGTTCAGTTTATAGAAGTGCTATGTCAAGTTTTTTTTGTGTGCTGTGCAAGTGCTAGTCCGTTACGTCCAATCGTCTCTATGTGTCATTTCAGAGTCGCGTGTGCCCGAGTCAGTACGAAGCGCTGTTTCACCCCGAAGAGCTAAATCGCCTAGACAATGGCCGCCCGAGAGGGGTCTACCCACACTTCGATACTGGCAAATAGACCCCGCGTCTCAATCCAGAAAAGAAAAGGAGAATGAGCCTTCGTCCTTGTATGAAATGGTGGAGGCCACTGATAGAGAAGAAGTGAGGAGCTCCAGGAAGGGGCGAAGATACAAAGATCCGCATTTGACCCCTCAATTTTCTCATCCAGAAATTGCTGAGAATGAATCGCATCAAAAAGAGATTTCAGACAAAAATAGTACAGCCCACTCAATGACCTCTCCTACTCCTCTCTCTGCCAAACCGACAATCAACAACGGTATCCATTGGACGGTTATTCATGCGCCATGCACTTCAGAATTGAGAGCGCAGCATCCAAGAGTGGAAACTCCCACAATCGATCGCCCACAAAAGTTGTCCGATGTCCCAGAACTGATTGTGACTCAACCTGATTCTAAAATCACCTCCCAGACAGCTCCACAAAACCAAACAAGTACTCTTCTTCCTCCCCAAACAACCGACTCGAGCACGTCACCTATACCTATCGTTGAGCTCCCGAGACGACGGTCATGCGCTGAAGATCCTTCGACGATAGTTCGTGCGCTGTCCCCAGCTCCGTTCAGGAAAGCTTCACCAAGTATTATTCCCTCAGCACCGCGAGATCTTCTCCATCCTTCAGAACCATCAGTACCAGGAGATTCTCTCCATCCCTTAGAAGTCGATACATCGGATCATCCATACCCATCTCTTGTTGGTGTGAATACAACACCCCGACCGTTCTCCATTCGTAATCGATCCCCTTCACCGGTTCCTACCATTGAGGAAAAACCAAAGCGACCTAAAACGTTGAAAAAAGTGGACTTCTCCAGAGCTACCGTTATCCCTGAGCCTTGGAACGACACTTGTGAAGCGAACAATGAAGAAGATGTTTCGACTGAGCCGTCTCCGACGGTTTCCTTGCCATTCACTCCTCCGGGTGGCAAAGAGGCGCCATCGATGGACGCTGCCACCCCGTACGATGGCGACGAATCGGAAATCTACGACAACAAAAGTGACAACGCTTCAACCCTTGAGATGGAGCTGGCGGACGAACAAGAGCAGTGGATGAGGGAGGAGCTGGAATTGGCACAGAAGGAGGAATTGGCCAAATTGAGCCCATTGCAGAATGACAAGGATCCCGATCAAAAAGAGGAGTGGCGCCAACAGGCCATGGCACTTTTGAACGACGATACCCAAATGGAGCGAGATTTTGCCATTGTTGCCGCTCTCAATGAACGTCTCCAGGGTCTTAAGGACATGGAAGAGGAGGATAGGCAGAGGGCTATTGAGTGTATTGAAAGGCATCAGAGCAATCTCGAAGAACAGCAGGACCAGCTGAGCGCGCTGCTCGACAGCGCCATTGCTTTCTTGAAAAATTTAGACACTTCACCTTCAATGGCCGCTTCTGAGAAGTCTCACCCAAAGAGAGAGTCGCCTGAGCCAGCTGTCGTGAAAACCGATCCGTAAGCGCTTTTCCTTGTTTTGTGTTCCATAAGCGTAGTGAATGAGCTAGAATATCTTCGTAAATGTTTTGGATGGAATGCGCCATGCGTGTGCTTTTTTGTGACTTGGTTGCTCAGTGTGTACTGTATCTGTTGCTCAAGTATTCTGTTGCTAAAGTCCGCGTCGGTGTTTCAGTCTTTGTTGTGCACGTGGAGAATTAGAGACCACCTCCGATCGCTTCATAGGTCCCGGTGATTTCATTGCCGAGAAATTGGAGCAAATCTGTGCCAATGATGGTGAAGTTCCTGTGTCCCCTCCTAACTTGCCGCCATCTTAACTCCCTCTACATTCAGGCCAATCCTTCACACGTTCGACCTTTGAACAACACACTGAACAACGCACGACAACTGGAGGTGGAGCAGCGGGTGCACCGTCCGGAAAGCTATTGGAAACCAGAGGACACGTGAGATTGACACTTAATTCCCGAACTAAACACTCTGCATTCGCAGTTTCATCTTTGATAAATGTGCTTCATTGGTATATTTAGGGCTCTCTCAATAACCCTGGGGGTCGAATCCCCTACTGTGAGTCCTGCAAGCAGCAAATCAGGTGAGTTTTTTGCCATCTACACTTCCTATTAGTCTGGGGAAAACGTAGTAATCTTAGCAACATCAGTGAGACCATCCCTTCCGAACCACATCTTTTTTAACTGGGAGATTCTTTTCGTACTTATGAAGTTGGTGCCATCAGTGAGTGGGGAAGATAAGCTCGTCTCCCAGAAATCTTAAGCTCACAACGAATGCACACAAATAAATATTTCTGCTTTCATAGGCAACTTACTATAATGAAATAATATCATGTGTAATTATGAACTCAGAGGTGCTTTTGTACTGGCTACTGGATTGGCTTGGTGCCCGGAACACTTCGTGTGTGCTTATCGCGGATGCGGTCGACGCCTTTTGGAATGTGGTTTCGTCGAAGAGAGTGGATCCAAATACTGTGAGGGATGCTTCGAAGCCCACATCGCTCCGCGCTGCGCCAAGTGTTCCAAACCAATCATTTCGGTTAGTTCAGCATCATTTTTGGTTTAAATAAAAAGATGTTATGGTTTAATCATTGGTTTTTACCTTTCGCACTTCCGAGTAATCGAACCTGCTGAATTCGGAAGCCGTGCACATAGATGGGAAAACTGGTATGGCATCGCCGAACATATAAGCCGTGGAAATCATCTGAATAGAGGAACTGAGCAAGCTTCTCAATTTCCAAGCAGTCCTAGAATCTTCTCCCCATCCCCACCTGTCTTTGCCTTTTATGGTCACTCTTGACTGTTCTTTATCTGAGTGTAACTGCTTACCTATCACCAAAGACGCGCATGAAGGGTTCCTACCGCATGGGTCCACACTGCCGCTCGCTCGGATTCTTTTGAAACAATCTCATCTAACGGTCCAATCACTGGCTCAGTCCACACCATTTTTTATTATCACATGACCATGGCTCTTGTTGAGATTTCTAAAGTCACCTGTTATTCCGCCGATCGCTGAATTGCACGTGCCGGCCCCATCTTCTGTACCCCTTTCTGTCGCGGATTATTGTATTTCATGAGCCCTCCTTGATTGATGGATATGAGACGAAGTCTTGTTTACGTTCCGAATTTTTTTGAAGATCCCCGTCCAGGAGTTGGTTGCAGAACTGATGTCTGATTGAATCCTTAACAAAATTACCCTCTTATTCTCGTGGATATCATGAAATTGCTTAACTTATCCTGCCTAGGCTCATCGTATGCACCTTTCCTAAGGCAGATCAGTTTATTGAAAGATCTGATTTGCTCAAACCCTTTCAAATAGCGGTGAAAAGTCGGTCTTTACGAGATTGAAAAAACTTTTTCCGCTTCAAATCAACTAACTGCTCATGTCACATACCATATTTCTATCTACTTGATGCTGCAACAGTTGGATCCGTCTATCCAATCCAGCAAAGTCCTCTTGCTCTATGAATATGAAAAGGAACGATAGTACTCTCTCTCTCTGTGAACAAACATCTCTGATACAGCAAAGTAGCGCCTTGAAGAAGTGTGTTAGTCGCTTACCTCCCTACGACCAAGCGCCTCTTGAACCCTGACTATCACCAATACGAAACGACCGCGTTTTTTGACTTCCCATCCGAGACGTCGTCCTCTGTGCTTATCAGGGTGAGGCATTCCAACTTGACAGACAGAATATCAGCAACTCTGGCGTCTTTGTCTTAGACAATCGATAGTTTCATTTATTGTATGGATTTCCACAGTGTGCTTCCGACCGTGCCCCTACTCCTTCAGGGTTCAACTTTTATCTTTTGCCTTCGTTTGATTTTTTTACTGTGGACCTACTATGGTCAACTTGACAGTCCCCAACAAAATTCCTCCCTTTTCAGGATTGTTTGAATGCGATGCAGAAGAAATGGCATCCCACATGCTTCACTTGTGCCCACTGCCATAAACCGTTTGGGAATACCGCGTTCTATCTAGAAAATGGCCTAGCTTATTGCGAGAGTGGTTAGGATTCTTTCAGTCTCTTCTACTTTACCAGTCCACTACTAGCGAATTCACTTCCTTATGGTTTTGTTAGATTGGAACGCATTGTTCACAACGAAGTGTGTGTCATGTAAGTATCCGATCGAAGCTGGAGACAGATGGGTAGAAGCTCTCGGCAATGCTTTCCACTCGAATTGCTTCAACTGCACTGTAAGTCGCTCATCTGTTGGTCTAGCACTGGTTACCACTGAATGTTCGGTTTTCAGCGTTGCCATTCGAATTTGGAAGGTGAAAGTTTCTTCGCAAAGAATGGCCAACCCTACTGCAAAATGCATGCATAAGCAAGAGATTCGCGACAAACCTATCCGTCGCCATCGTCGCAACATCCGGACTGATCGACAAGCCCTAATCCTCAACAATTCTAGTTCGTAGTCTTTCCCCTCTGGAGAAAATAAAACAGTTTAAATTTCACTGAGACGTTGGAACGTAGCAGTTACCGTTATTTAATAACTGGTAGAGTTAGTTGTTAGCCACCACCGATTGATTTGTTTCGGTGGGATTAGTGTGAATTCGTGATGTAAGCCGATCAGCCCCCTAACCAAATGACAAGTCAAATGCCCTGATTCACTGCACAGTGTGAACTTGAGCCCCCGACCCAGCCATCCATCCAAATCATCAGCTCATCTTGCTTATTTTTGCACGAGAAATTTGCTGCTAGCAACTACCGTAAGGTACCGCAGTGGAATCGCCTCCATCGCGCATTGCCTTCCAAGCTTTGACTTATTTGAATAAGTTTATAAGTCCGCTTGTTGCTCTTTTCCCTCACACTTCCCTCCTTTTATGATATTTGAACGTGTTTTTTTGGGCTCAACATTGCTGTGCAATAAATTTTATCTCAGATAAATCATTTATTTTTGTTTACAGCTGAATTCAGGCGAATTTTTTGAGCTTTATCAGATTCTTTGCTGGCTAACGACCTAATCTGTGGAGCGGATATGTACAACGATACACACGATATTCTTTCTGAATCATTAGTACTACTAGATTTGACACATTGGCGGGTCTAAACAATTTCCATTTCACTAAAACAAACAGCAAAACATATGGAGTAAACTGGAAAACAAACACGCTGAAAGGAAATCTCGTACGACGCAAAAGCACACAATTACCAGTCGGTTTTAAACGCGTAAGTATGTTCAGACGGTGGATCTACGGAGACCTAGGCCATTGGGAAAATCGTCTACTGTCGAGGAGATCAGACACCACCAATCTATCCGTACAATCTTGCTCTACTTGCACCATCCTTTAGTTACGGACACGACACTACGGCTGTGGCAAGGACGCGTCATTCCGTAAGGTGCCATATCCGCTTGAAGCATCACCATCGTGGAATGCCTGACTGCCGCCGTGCCCATTGGCGACCACTGGAGCTTCATGACCATTGACGACTATGGCTGTACCGTGGCCATTGACGTGCTGAGTTGGTGCAACTGGAGAGCGACCATTTTTCTCCATATGTACGATTGGAGAACGACCACTGAAAGTAAACTTTGGATTTGAAAGAACTTAGGGGATTTTTCTGCTCTATCAGTATTTTCAAATCGCTTCACGTGTCGGATACTGCTGAAAAAGGTGAATCAGTTGAGCGGAACTAGCTTAAAACGACGAAAACGACAGACATCTAAAGAACAGAAGCAGAGAGAACACTCACAGTCTCATGTGATCGACCGTATGCCTAGAAATTCTGGGCTGCTTTCTTACTCCCCAGTGCATCAGAACTAGACTCAGGCTTCAACTGGAGGCAGACGTAATAGGTTTATTTGACAAGGCACGGGGGAATTAGTATGACCCCCACTTAAAAACCTAGGTTTGTACCACTTTATACCTCTTATCAATGGGCGGAGGTGGGTGAAGTGGCCGTACATTGGGTGGCAACCGCAAGTCATTGTATAGGCTGCATACGCATTCAATATGCCACTACGATTCCGAATGGAATTTGAATGCGGGGCGTAATGCTCAAACGGGATTGATCCAAAGACTTCGGCTTTTTTTATATACCTCTGATCAGCAAAAAGAAAACAATTTTGGGAGCTGAAAAATGCCAAGAGTCTTGAGGATGTTTTGATGCTACATCTCACGGCTTCGGTCTGTTCAACACCAACTGAACGGGCGAAGCCGAACTATGTTTGAATTGGAAAACCCGAGCGATTTCAAATGTCACATGTCACAACGTAAAGGGTGGCGGCGCAATTTACGATGCAGGTTTCCTCCTATGTCCCTCATTTCAATCATTTATTGTACATTCCTTTCGTTTTCTTTTCCGATATTTGCCACGGTCAACCTGGCCTTACATCTTCCGTTTCCTATGATGCCTTCCGGTTGCAGGTTCTTCCGGGAGGGGCACTACTAGCATTGACTACTGAATCGGCAAATCTTCTAAACATTTCATTAGTAGTAAGTTTCTGTTAAAACACCACTAGCAGTTAACTGTGTTGGATGGAAGTCGAGTGTATGGGGCGCATCATGGGTTGTTCAAGGCCAAGAGCTTCTTCCTTTCAATTTTTTATTCTTTCTATTGAGGTATAAATAGCGTTTCATTCCTTTATAGAGCTCCCATGTCCTTTAATAATCTCCCATGTGATTACCTCCGTGGCGTTGGCGATTTTCGTATAGACCGGTCATCCACGTAGCGCAAATACTTGTATGCTCTCGATAGAAGATAGACACTCAGTGCAGAACCCAGCAAACATCTTGCCCAGGCGGGAGTCCTGAAAGGAGGGAAGCTGGCTTCAAAGCTATCTAGCAGGCGTGGTAAATATACCTGGTGGGTATCAAAGCCTTGATCAAAACGGCACTTAATAAGCTCCCGAAATTGAAGATGGTGGTTGAAAATACGCTGAAACACTGGCACTATCAGGGGAAAACTGAACAAAGTTCGAATTTGATAGAAAGGTTGTCTATTGCCCACCTGAATTCTACACGATCCCATGGCCGAAGCCTGTGAAGATGGTGTCGATAGTAGACGTAGAAACCAAGACCGATATTCGCAGTAAACAGTATTGTGTTACTGACCGCCAAGTCCCCGACCGTAAACACTCTGGAAATGGAAAAAAATACTGAAGCGCTCAAGCAGACGATTAAATGATTGACAGTAAAGGTCGTATTCCACCGTACATATTGCTAGTTAGTTTGCGCAGGAGTATGTAACCTTTTCAAGTCACCACTCTTCTAACTATAAGCAATCTACAAAACCAGCCATCTTCTCACACGCAGATCAAAGGTCTCTTTGGGTTTGGTCTTCCATTTTTCAGTTCCTATTCCTTGTCTCTTTTGTAATTGCCTGAGCGACGGGTGAACATTTTATTTTAGACAAGAAGTAAGAGAACGATCCCCATCAACACCTTAACCGGATGGAGCCATATTGGAGCTAAATAGTAGAGGCTATACACAGCTGATTCCATCGAATCTTACTTCACTTCTTTATAAGGACTCAGGTATTGGGAGAGACTACGAAAGGAATTCCTACACGAAAATATCGATCAGCTTGGTGTACGAGGAAGGATTCATGGGGGTCTTTCTTGAGAATTATGAATTATTTGGAAAAAAAAATTGACCGTTTCCACTCTTTTCTGCATCACTCAAGGCGCTTGCACTATGCCAAAGAACGGATTTTGAATCAGAGCCAGCAAGCCTAAACCAAAGATTGGTTTCAAAGCAGTATGATTGAGGCGCCTTAGGAAATTCCCAATATAAAATCTATTTTTAGGCTTTTCCAAACAGTGAGTACGGTATCCTGTTTCTTAACTAATTCCACTCAGAGTTCGTGCGAGACGAATTCGTAAAGAACCATGGATACCGCATTTACATGCAATCCTACTATCCTTCGCGGATGCGCGCGGCAAATTGCGCGGAGAAGTTCGCGACGATTTGGACGACTTTAACGCCTATAATTGGGGCCCAAATTTGAGGTAGTGTAGATAAAGGATCATTTGATCCTACTAAACTACTTTATTTTCGTGCCCCGAAAATTGACGTCAGTGCCGTGCAAATCATCACGAACTTCGCCGCGCAAGTTGCTGCGCACATCCTCGGACGCACGTAAGTCTCGTCCCCGTATGTGCGCGTATATGTGTGTAAATTTAAGTATTAACATAACAACAACATTAACATTAGCACATATTAGTATTATTTAAGCAAAAACATTTGAAAGGGGCCGATAAATAGATTCAGAAACCAAAAGCTTATGTAACAGGTGCGCGTTTCAGATTGGCTGCTTTCATAGTCCGCCCGGCTGACGTAAAACGAATTAGTTCGTGTAAGAAATCTACGTCTCTTGCATTTTATTTCACGGTCAGATTGTTTACGGTCGGGTTGAGAAGTAAAATGCAACAGAGTGGATTTCTTACACGAACTAATTCGTTATACGTCAGCCGGCGCGCCGGCCGGCGGACTATGAAAGCAGCCATTGGCGTCTCAGATAGTTTAGTCTACTGCATTAATTGATATGGAATCGTAGACTGGTAGAAACTGATAACAAATGATAGGAGGTGATAAGAGGTTATAGGAGACAAGTGCAACTGGGTCCATTACACTCCTCATGTTAACACGTAGAGTGTAATAGATCCACCTGCTCTTGCGGTGACACCGACACGCGGAGTTTTGACACTTTGGGGGGTGCTTATGATGGTACGGGATTTTGGACGGTTGGTAGCGGGACTAAAGATGACCTTTAAGGGCTGTTAAGGTACACGATTAGAGGGCATACGACGTCAGAGGAACTGGGTCTGTTGCACCTTTGAAGTTACTATTGGAACCTTGACAATTTGTAGATGGTTGGTGATAGGAGCTAGTAACATGTGCTAAAGTCGTAGGGGGCAAGAGTTAGTCCCTCACTTTGTTTCATCAGGAAACACTTTCGTGGGTGGTTTGGGATGTGACGCGGTTGTTAGTGGTGTCAGGAACTAATAACAGTCGATGACAGTTGGTGATGGGCGTTGAAGTGAAAGAACCATAAAGAATTCTTCTTCCTATATAAACAGGGGTCCTTCTTACTTCAGTGTGTAATGTAGGGTGTAACTGGAGCGAAGACAAAAAATGATAGCAACTGATAAAGGTTGACCAGCCACCTTTCGAAGAGACAGCGATAGCTTGTCTCAGGACTTCAACCTACACTGAGCGGAGCGTGCTCCTGAATGGAAGATGCTTTTCAAAAAAAAATTAATGGAGTGCTGATTTGAAGGTGGCCAAATTGCCACAGCGCACGAAGCGTGCACCGATGTGAGCGGGGTTATGATCCAACATTTATGACTGTATAAAAATGTCCCATACTTCGCAAAAAAACATGGTTAGAGGCTGTTGGAGAAGAAATGAATCCCCTTTTTTCATAGTGGGCCCAGCATGCGCTGATGGGGCTGACATGGAATAAAAATCTCCTGTTTTTGCTCGAAAACGTTTCAGAATCATAATCATTAGTGTCTGTTCGTTTATCTGTCTGTCTGTTTGTCTGTCTGTCTGTCTGTCTGTCTGTCTGTCTGTCTGTCTGTCTGTCTGTCTGTCTGTCTGCCTTGCCTTTCGAACCACAACCGTAAGGCCAACAACAAGGATTGTTTTCGAACAGTATGGTCGGGAATATTGCTACAGCAATTTATCCATCAATTATCTGTCTGTCTGTTTGTCTTTCTGTCTATCGTCCATCTATCACATAGTCCATAATACTTAAGAAATCGCCTGGGAACTCCAGGTCAGGTTCGGTTTGGATGGAGCACGGGGCAACGCAAAATTGCTCATGTGAACTCAGCATCTTTCGCACGCAGAAGGCACTACAAGCACCGGAATGGGGAATGGTAATTAATTCCGCAAAATTGCCAGATGCAAAGGGTAAAATTCCCTAGCTTGGTTTAGAACAGCTTAGACATCAAAAAAAAGGAACAAATTTGAGGAATGGGTCAATAGTCAAGAAAGCGTTGATGGAGACTCAGTCCAAGGGCGAATAGCTTTGATCGAAGGGCTTTGATTAAAGGCTTTATAGGTCTGCTTAAAGCTCTTCGCTGTGATGCACGCGCAAGTATCGGTGGTTCACCCGGATTCCATACGCCAGGACTGGGTAGTAGAGCATTTCAAAGAAAAAGTGATTATAGCAGTGTTAAGGACTGCCTAAGCTCAGGATCAAATGGAAGGAATAGAAATGATTTGGTTTAATCATTTCTATTAGAGTACGATAACCAAACATCAGTGTTGGCAACTCAGTAATGGATCACACTTGATCATCGTTTCATATCTTTTGCGACGAATATATTCGAACCCCGATTACCCCGAGGTTTTGCGGAATTTTTTATCATCCCATGAAGATAGGGAGGGTCACGGGCAACGGTTCCTGATAACGGTGCTATCATTTGTTTCTATGAGTAAGTACATTGAAGGCTTGACTAATCAAGTACAAAATAGTCGCTGTGCCAGTATGTATGTAAGTGATAGAAAAACAACTGAGCCTCAACTGAGTGGTAATGGTAAAGATTAAGAGCCTCAGTTCGAGACCTCGTAGTAATGATTGTCAGGGCCACTCAACGTTGAATACCAGTCGCACTGCTGCGCTTGTATCAAGCTCCCCCAACCATTTTTGATAGCTTTGTAAAATTTGTAGTCCCCGCGTAGTTCTAAGCATTCCCTCTTGGGGGCCGAATTGTACCATTTTCTCTGAGAAGGGGAATGGAGGGGAAACATTGCAATCCGACTTTGTTAACGAAGGAGAGGAGCCCGGCGTAAGCCAACCGATACCATTGGATTATTTATGAAACGTTTTCTGTAAACTTGCGTGTTTGCTTGGATGTTGTGAGAGTACAGGGTGCTCTGTACCCGTGTGTGTATGTCTAGGCGAGACCTCATCCGTGAGAGCGCCGAGTGTTTCGGAGTGAGAGATATCTGAGTGGCTCGTGCCTTCTGATAACCATTACCGGCCCTTGCTATAACCTCTGTCAGCCAGCATATCACACTTGAGAAATGGCGATAGTCATGAATTCTGAGCCAAACGGAAAGAAACTCCCAATTACATCCCCGTTCGCACACACTAACGTACGTATACACATACATACATACATAGAAACACGCATGCACACAGACGTATCGAACCGTTAATTTTGCGCTTGTTGCATCAGATTAAAGGCTGACCTCCTTTCAAAGCTTTTTTCCCTCATTGTTGAGGCCGTCCTTGATTCGGATCACTACCAAGCACTTGACCCAAAGACCGAATCCAAACCGATATCAGCCGAGGTCAACAAAAACATCAAACTTTTCAGGGTCGCTTAGTTTTCCAGTTCCAGAATGAAAGGCTGATATGTGCATCGGCTGACCCCTGCGATTCATTTCATAACCTGTACGTATTCAAACCGCAGAACGTTTTCCAGGATAAGTCAAACGCGTGGGCGCTCCTTGAGAAGTATATTTGTCAGAATAAAGCAAACTTTGCTTTGTCCTTCGAAGTTGTGCCTCACAACAGGTAGGTGAACTGCATCACTCTACACATGGTCCTGGTCTTGTCTTTGACCATTTGTTCGAGTATACGAACCGCGTAAAGAACGGTCCCGCCATTTTTAGCTCGAGCGCAGTCGATTTTCATGTTCACCTAGAATATGTATTACCTATCACGGGTGTGACCCCTCTCAGCCCAATCCCAGGTACGATCCCTCTTAGCCTCTGTGCACCAAAGCATTTTAACAACCATCCATCCAAAACTCGACCGGCTCTCTCCAGCGCTCCTTCAGGTCAGTACGCATAGCATTTTATGCTTGTATAGTAGTGTAATGGGGAGAAGTCAGGTGAGCGGTTGCACCTTAAAAACGGGATTGACTAAGGCCAAACGTAAACCTTCCCGTGGGTTTTCGTTTCACCTACTATTTTTCGAATCCCTACCTTTTAACAACACTGCAATAAAAGTCGAACAGAAAACATCGAATGAACTCTATACTGGACAATTGAGCATCGCTGTATAGACTGTATCCTATACTAATGGGAGGTTTGAGCCACATATGCGGACTCTATGAAGGTACCTTCCAACAAGAGCTCCCAGCTGCAAACTACGAAAGCGATGCACGCTTGATTGATGATAAGCAAAATTTGTCTATACAATTTGAAGTCACAAGCTCACTATCTGACTTTGAAACTCAACCAGGAAGGTGGCTGTGTGAGAATTCGGCAGTAGTGCGTTTTTTACCATGATTCTTCAAAAATTAGGGCATATTGTTGAAATTTTGACCGGCAGGTATGAAAAACTTAGTGATTACTTCAAAAAATGATCAGTCAAGAGCCGAATAAGCGGGTGATTATGCTCTAGCAATATGACAGACTGCAATATGACAGGTTGTCATTCCATAAAGGTGGCGATCTTAAGCAAAGTGGTCGGTGCTTGATCGGAGAAATGACTCTTGGCTCAGTTCTTGGTACCATTTGCACGTCTACTGAAACAAATGCTTCGCGCTTCATTTTTGCAACGCATTATGTTACCAAAATAACCACAAAAACCGCTTTTGAAAAAAATATCCTTCAAGAATCAATGGCTATGTTCGACTCCATCTTCAGCGAAATACTGGTCTGAAATTAAGAACTCCTGATCATGGTCGCTGAGTTCTGCCGACTATAAGTTTGAAAGTAACGACCAGTTAATGATAACCAGCAGAGCATATTCGGAACATTGGAAGTGGAACATGGTTGCGTGAATTTGTTATTTGAAAAGCTGAATTCTTTCCGTCAATCCTTGGGAACGTAGTGAACACATAGCCAGATCTACAATAACTTTTCTCTCTTATTTTGGATCACCTGTACTCAAGTGATCAGAAACCATAACCGGTTCGTTGATTCATGATCAATTCAAATCTACACACAGGTGCGAAATGAAGTGTTGAATTGCTCCCACGTCAATGCTCCGTCACGTCTCACGTCCCGACTCATGAAAGTAGCATTTANCAGCGACGATTGTTTCAATAAGTACGCGCTCTGATCCGTTGAGCTAACACTGGTGCGCGCGCGTGTTGAGTTTAATCTGTGGCTACAATGTTGACAGAGGGCGATGCTAAGAAGAGAGACGTGGAGGGTTTTTTAACACATACATATCACTGGCAGCGCGACAGCAAACAGACACGTAATTGAAAGACAGTGAATCGGCTTAGAACATTCCAGACGTCGCATACTCGCCGCGTACTGAAGTGGCAGTTTATAGATTTGAACCGATTTCATTTTCCTCTTCAGTGAAAATCAGGTTGAGCTTGAGAAAACAGATTTGATGCCGATACGTTGCGGCATATAACCCAGTACTTCAGGTGCAAATAAGAATTTTCTGGTTAATTCTGGGCGCTATCAAAATGTAGAAGTTATAGAAAGATAGGAATTTGTGTTAAGATAGGATAAAAAAATGGAGCTGGGATTGTACACCTGTATGTCACGCCCAGAAGCGGACGGGCTACCACGTGTCATCAAAAGAAAACGCAAGAAATCGAGAGAATCCTTGAATCCTCGTGCCAGACTATTTGCCCTATCTGGCTCGACTAGACGACAAGCAATAATATTTAGAAACTGCATAAACTGACAGCAGATTTCAAAGAGGATGGATACCGAGCTACTGCTCTCCTGAAAAACTTCAACAGTGAGTAGGATTATATGTAAATTTTATGTTCAGAAACTGAAATTCGGACTATCTTGTAAGCGTTTTAGATGGTTTCCGATTGTTCCGAAAAGATGGCTTGAGAGGATCTGCAGACTACGCATGTGTAGAATGTTTGGATACTGTACCGACTTTTCTTTCAATATTACCCTCTCTGAAGCTCTGAACAAAAGGAATATTTCGCCCCGGCCATATTACCCTCTCTGAAGCTCTGAACAAAAGGAATATTTCGCCCCGTGCCCCCCGAGCGAGTACGATTCACTGGACTACTCTGGCTCGCGACAGGGACGAAAGGAGACGTTACTGGTTCTCGCTCGAGGAAATCAATGATCAACGGGACAACAGGTAATACAGGTAAAATGTAATTAGCCTCTCAGATTTTGTATTATTATATCAGTTTTTTGATGATCTTGAGGAGGATAACACACATTTGACTAGTCATATTGGGAGTACAAAACTCCGCCGTCGCTCCGAGACCACTTTATCCCTGACTCCGCTTCTTTTTCGTGTGTTTGACAGTCACGGAGGAATGCGTGGTTAATATTTTCTTCCTACACACAATGTTAGGTTCTTTCGATTACAGACCGGTTCTTCCAGACAGTCCACACCTCGGTTAACTTATTTCCCCAATACATGAGTAAAAAAGCTTCTTCAGAACGAATAATGATGATCATTGATAAAAATGAGAAATAAGCAATTAGAACTCGTTCCTGACCTGTAAGGAATGGCTTTTTTTAATCTACAGAAGAAATACTTGCACACATTTACATATAGCAGATTTGTTTGCTTTATCTGTAGGAAGTTTGGTCAAGGCCGTTAAGAAATTCAGAGTTGAATCCACCTCTTAAAACTCTCTCAGACTGATTCTTACCTCGCAAAAATGAAGTTGAGTTCAATCTATATTAACAGCAACATGGCCTACTGTTGGATTGCACAATTCATGATAGAAGGTTTCCGAGATATTCCCCCGAAATGAATTTGCGGCATTTTACGGCATATGTGGCCATTCTGGATCGAAAAACGGCCTAGATAGGGCTGATAATGAAGCTTAGATTGTACCAAGGTAACACCCGGAGGTGGACAAGTTTTCGAGGTGGATTAGGGACTGCGTTATGCACAAGGGATATCCACACTGGAAATTGAATAACTAGTCGTGTCCCATGGCGACAGATGAAGACACTGCCGTTTTGGGGATTTCCGATTTCATGAAGCCAGCTCTTCACGCAACGCAGCAAATGAAATTTGTATAACGCAATTATCGCGATCTGCGCCTTTTAAAGGCATAGTTCACGATAATTTTGAACCTGTTTTTAATCGAAGAGTGGAAGTATTGATTGGGAATAGTTCATCGGTAGTGAAGAAAGCGAGAGAATTCGCCGATTACGAGAAAATATGGCCTCTCAAAAGTGGGGAAATAGAGGTTGCACAAGACTGCCATGACGGAATAACATGGAGTGGGTACTCGGACGAGATTTCAGTTACTGCAATTGCACAAAGAGCTGACTATATCAAGCCAGAACTGCACAGAACTGTCTTTCACTGTCGATATGGGTCATGACACGTTGTTTGAACTTCCTACATGGGTGATTGGTGCAGTCTCTACTAGGCCGGTGAAACTCGTCCGCAGGACATACACGGGCCAATCTTTGAGCTTTTATAACTCTCTAACTAGGCCGTTTTCCGACCTAATAGTGTCAGATATGTTACACGCGGGGGCCTTACATTCATCCTGTGGGGGATCTCAGAATCATTTTTACCGTGAACTGTGCCTTTACTGCAACATGATGAAATAAAAAGCGGGAACACTGCTTTCGGGATAGTTATGACAAGGAAACACGAAACGGACTTCTGCAACCGAATATAGCTAATAGTGTGATTATTAGTCGAATAGCACAGAGAGCTTAAAGTCGTTTACTTAGAAACTTCAAAATCGAAGGCAACAAATGAAATGATGGCCAAAAGAATATGCGAAATACCCGAAATACGCGACAAACACGCAGCAGGACCTTTTTGAGAAGTCATAGATTTTAGGTTCATTCCACCTCAAGCATCTTGTTCACTGTATTTACGCTCATTACATTCACCAGGTTGACCTCTTTTCAATACGATCTCAGCGATGAAATTCATGACAACTACACGAAACAACAATTCAACTAAAAAGGAAATAAGTTTATGTACTAACCTCGATACGAACGAGGGATTGAAGATGTGGACGGCGAAAAGCGTATGAGAGATTGCTCCCGATGCCGGCAAATAATGCGATAGAAATGAGCGGAACGTTAGTGGAGGAAAGTAGGAGCTCCAACTCATTCGACTCAACGTACCCATACTGAATGAAAGAGGAGCAATCACTCTCAACTCGAATGTCGTTCGTTTCTGAAAGAAATCGCGGAGCATACAAATGACAGTTCTGAAGGAAAGCCGATTGCAAATTACATATCGGCAATGCTTTATGGCGTCTTTGAGGAAATAAAAAAAGATAATACGAGTGCATGACTACATCTGAAGGAACAAAGGCACACTGGCGGAATTGAGGCGATGTTCTGAAGAATGATGTCGGGTTACTCACAGTTATAGGTACATCAGTAATTAGCGTGGACCTGAACAGAAGGATTATACTGGTTATAAACTCCAATCTCATTAACTTCAGCCGTGACCATCAAGAACCCTCTCCTAACTCCCAAACGTTCTGGTCATTTCTTTCAAATCTCATCAAAAACTGAGTACAGAAGTTCATTCACACCTGTCAGTAGGGTCAATTACCGGAACGTTTGCTGTGATGGTGTCAATAAAGTTATAGGAACGAGTACCATATAGGAGAGACGACGTATGATGAAAACGACAAATGAGGCAAAACTTCCCACTTGGGGGCGATATCAGTTGGGCAGAAAATATGTTTCCTAAATTTTCGAATAAGTTTTGAGTACTGCACATACGTGCTTCTACAGCTACTTGAATTATGTACGATACAACGTGTTCANTGGTGTCAATAAAGTTATAGGAACGAGTACCATATAGGAGAGACGACGTATGATGAAAACGACAAATGAGGCGAAACTTCCCACTTGGGGGCGATATCAGTTGGGGAGAAAATATGTTTCCTCAATTTTCGAATAAGTTTTGAGTACTGCACATACGTGCTTCTACAGCTACTTGAATTATGTACGATACAACGTGTTCACGCAGATCGCAGTTCTGGAAACACTGAGGAGATAGTATGAAGCTAGTACAAGGCGCGGAAAACTTTTAACAGCGCTTGGTTGACATCAAGTTGAGGAACACAACGGCTACAATTCTGAAGTGAAGTACACGATATTAGCGCAGAAGACGGAGGACTCAGCAAGAAAGGCATTAGAGGCGATCTGGATTCTACAAAGGAATCCCAAGATGAACTATAGAGATGAGTGTCCATCCATAACCAATGATCTCTTCCCATACTCACAACTCTGTGAGCTAAAACCCTTGGTCAATACAATCATAATGTGATCTTCCTTATCATAAGTATAAGAGAGACATCAAGAACTCAAGTGATTTTTTTCGCTCTGACGGTGGAGTCTGGTGAGCATTTCGTAAGGTGGATTGCCCTCCGAGGTGCTCCAGTCGTTGTTCTGCTAGGAGGATTAAACTCTGTTGTATAATGTAGGGGTGTGGTGCGATTCACGCGTCAATGTAATGAGTTCATCGTACAAAACGCGCTAAAACATCATGCCTACCATGATGTTGGAAAAAATAAGAACTTATAAGTAGAATAAGTAAAGAAATGACTAACTATGCAAGTTTACAGAAGGATTGCGTTTACTAGGATCAAAAAATTTGAGGTTATTCTTATTTTGAACGTTCGACAAGTAAATTGTTGACCTATGAGGTGAATTCTTAATCTCGAAGGGGTTTTTTTACCATAGTAAAGAGATTTGCTCTATTCATGGTGAAGCCGTGAACTACTGCAAATTTATTTGGTCCATCTCAACAGAAAGGTGCTGAAACGATGCTGCGTGCGCGAAGAGCTCTCACGAGGTCACGCGTGAATCGCGCGCCCCCCGATAATGTAGACCATCTCGATATGCGTTCAGGCCTCTAAAGACGACGACTACGTCGAAACCTTAGGCTCGGGCTGTTAACTGAGTAAATTGTTCCAACTAAAAACCTCAGTATAGGATTTTCAACAGCAAAAAAGACAAGGCCGAGGTTAAAACAAGAGCGAAGTTGGAGATTATGGAGATACCTCGTTGTCAAGTGGACTCAATTGTCTGCAAGCAATTGCTAGGTTACATGCTCGTCAAGTGTGTCATTCATATCTACGATCGAGTTCTCGAACACTCGCAATCACAGTTAACACGCGTTTCTATTCAGAAGAACTAGTCATTCGCATTGCTGTTCATATTATCAAACAAGCGGAGTTCATGGTTTATCAAAAGAGTTTTATGTGAATCTGAATAGACTATTTCGTTCTGACTCATAACAAGTATTCTCTCGAGTGAGCGATCGAAAATGCAGTCAAACTGGAAAGATCTGCAATCCAGATTATCCACGAACAGTCATCAGTCAATAAAGAAGAAACTGTCAAAGCGGAGATAAGCAGTGATTAGTCAGAAACCACCAGAAAGTTGGTAGACTGACGCTTTCTTGCATCAAATGGCGAATGCATCCATGTCCGTAAATCAAAGTCTGAGAGATATCTTAATGAGAAGCGCGGGATGTGGGCGTGAGGCTGGATGGCAATGTAATGACACCACTGAACAGAAAAAAAAAACATAGCTCATAATAGCTTTTGCTAAAGGAAGGCTCTTTCTAAGGAGGAGGGAACATTTAGCAGGAGTTCTTGTAAGAAAGTTCTCGAAAATAACTCTTGCTACGTCCAAAAACTATTAATCATGAGCTAATATCAGAAGCACAATTCAATTCTATCCATGGCGCCTCGGAACGTCCCCCTATGAAAGGTTCTCGAAATAAACGTCTCGGGAACAGACGCGTTTCAAGATAGCCGTCCGGAAACTTCGCTCAGCACTTAACAACCATCTCCAATGCGTATTTCCTTTGTTACAAACCCTGTTGATAATAAAGGAGAGGTGAAGGGCGAGTTTTATTGTTCCGTTGCATTAACGAGCGTGAAAACATGACGCAAATCAATGCTGAGATGACAGAGTGATAAATTCTCAAACACTCCCTTCGAGAAAACTGGGAACACCAAATGGACACGGGTATTGTGAAAATTAGATTCACTAATATTTCTTGTTGAGTGTATATTTTTGTCTTAATAGTGCAATGAGTCTCTAAAAATACCCTGAAAAATCTAAAAATGGATATAAAAAAACTTCAAATAAAATAAAAGTAGTAATATATAAGTTTAACCTTATTTAGTATCATAATGTTGTATAAATCCGATTAGTCTTCAGAACTTCTATCTGGTCTTTTTTTACCTTGCAGTAAAAATAAAAACTGAAATTTCAACTGGAAAGGAAGAGAGCAGCCAGATTTCGTTGAAGCGAGAGAGGAACAAATGCCACTTGCAAAGAGCGGAACATACTAAAAATACAAAATTTTGACAAGCAGCAGAGTGATGGGATGTCATGCCAATCTTGAGCCCATGGAGGACAGAACAGACTGATTACAGCAACTTTGCTGCTGCGCTGTAAAGCGCTCAGGAAGCGGAATTCAAGGCAAAACAACACGCACAGCAACGGCTGAATCTATTGATCTAGGAAACGATGGGATAGACAACGAACAATTAAGTTCGACATCTTTGTCCCATTCGGGTGTCCAAGACAAAGTTTCACATGGATCGATTCAGGCAGAATTCCTAATCACACATGAGAACGTTGGTGATCGCTCACCGAAGACTGAACAACGGTGTTGAATAGAAAAGGTAGCAACTAAAAAAAAGCTCACGGGCGATTCAGTGAAGGAATCATATAGACCACAGAAGCAGTTCTTGGGTAATACCGAACTACAGTTTTTTCTTTGGTTTTTTTTTTTGAAATCCTGGACCCTACATACAATTTGAAGGTGCTTTTCAAAGTTATGTAGTTTAGAAGCAAATAATTAGGATAGCCTGGTAGAAGGCAGGAAGATGGCGAAGGCCGAATCCAGTGTACACAGGTCCAAAGAGTCAAATACGCCGGCATTTCTCAACAAATTCTCCATGACTATTCATGAGAACGAAATAGGAAATGAGTTACAATTTCGAACGATCCATGCTGTTGAATCATCGCAAAGGAAGAAAAAGAGGGCGTCTTACAGCCAAACCATTTCGGACATGGGAGACGCCCAAAGTTCAGATCAGGGTCACGTGAAGTTTACTGGAGAGAACTGCCCAAGTGCGTTCGAGTAGTCACCAATTTTATTTGTTACCCGAGTTCCTTTTTGGACATCTTATATGGAAGCAGATGTTTGAAAATTTGGAAGCACCTGAGAATCAGCCTAGAAGACCCAGTCAGCTGTTCATTTAAAGGCATTTGTGAGAAGGCAATGATGAAGGATAGATCCTTATTTGTTTGAATCTTTTCTCTTTGGGAAAGAAGAACCTTTAGATTGCACTAGCAAACATATTTTCGAAGCAATTGTTCTTGTGGAGACATTATTGTCTGCTTCTTAGAGTTCGTCACACCGCTGCGCCATTTTTTCTACCTCCTCAAAGTGGTTACCTGCAAGCCAGGTGTCGGGTGCGGAGTGCACCTTTGAGATGACCTCAATGAACACTGACAAAGTGCTGGGAGCCCTGCTTCATCATTTCCGACATCTAGTACATCTAATGTTGAACTGAGCTGAAGTCTTTTTCCCTTTAACGGAAAGGCGTTTCATTTGCCTAAGAGGAATAGAATACACCGGCTTTCCAAAGTTCTTTTATTCGTCGAACTGCATTCATAACATTCTTCCAAACTGAGAAGAGTGTGTTCTGGCCGCTCGGATTAGAAAACATGATGGAACGACTTGGATTGAATTGAATTGACAGATTGAGTTCGCAAGATGAGAAGATAAAACTTGAAATTCAGAACCATTATCGGTAAAAGGACACAGTGGACAGAAGGAATGTCTTAGGATCTTTCTTTCCACTGACACTATGACGAACGATGACGGAACATAGACGTCAAAGCCAGTTCATCGATTTCTGCGACATAAGACCATAACACTGCAAGCCAGTTTAAAAATATTCTGCCCTTCAACGACATGTGTTCGTGCTCTGAGGTTCCCGTGAATGTGGTAACCAGAGCTGTTGTTTCATATCCACGCGAAAAAATGGACCCACTGCTAAACAACTATCACTCGACCTCCCACATTTGCCTAAACATAATTGATATTTACTCATACTAAAGGAGAAATCTCATCTCCTGATCTGAACTAATCAGCTTGATCGTGCCGCTGAATTGATACACACTGTTGTTTATACCTGCTTCAAATTTTTAAAAAAATTCCGCCAAAATCTAACAATCCCATAGAAATTTGGAGCCACGTCTGTGATGCAACGGATTTCGAAGTTCACTGGCGCAGTCAAGAGTTTCTACTGTATTTAGGCTCGAAAACTTGGAGGTCGTCAAGCTTGCCTGTATTTGCCGAGTAGAAGGTGATAGATTAAAAAGCGATAACGAATTTTTGAGGAAGAAAAAACATTAGAACGTTGCGATGCAAAAGATGTCCTAAAAAGTGTCTCACTGTTGTCTAGCCATACCAAGTCGAAAGGCTCATCCTAATTTGATCCCAGAACACAAAGGCACAGTTTACGATAATTTTGAGGTACCGTTTTTATGTTGAAAAGCGGAAGTGTTGATGTGGAAGAGTACATCTGTAGCGAAGGAAGCGAGAAAATCCGTCTACTTCAAAGCTTTTCAAAAGTAGTGGAAGGGAGGGTTGTACGAGATCACTGTGACG